TGGACCAGCTGCTCACCCACAAAGCCTTCGCTTGGGGACCAAAACTGGCACCAACAATTGAAGGGATTTCTGGAGGTCCATCGACTCTCATGACTATGCTCCAGTGGATCCTTGCCTGAGAACACAAAACATTTGGAGCCTCTAAGTTGTGGTTAGATTTGTGTGTTGGTCGTTGATTTCACACCTCGTGGCCCCTAACTAAGGATTTGACTTGGATTAACATACCTGTGAAGACCAAGAAAGGTGTCGCCTTTCAGAAACACCCTCTTTTGGCCATATCTTTTCGACGTCGTCGGCATCAAAATACCCAAACAAGAGGTCCGGCTATATTGGAGCCACGCCTTGGGCAAAAGCCTCTACCGCCTCACACGATTTTGTACCGCTAGGGTTCTACGGTGACTCTGCAAGACTCGCAACGCGTTATGAGGTGCAAAAGGTCCTAGGACTTTTTATCAACCTGCCTTTATGGCGACCAACTTCCATTCGGGCCTCTAGATTTTTGGTGTTCAGCATCTTGGAAGACCAAATACTTATCGCGGAGGACCTTGAATACAGTTTTGCGGCATCTCACTTGGTCTATGAATATTTTATTCGCCGGACGTCATCCCTTTAGCGGTCCTGCGGGAAGGTGATGCGGCCAAACGGGCTGGAGCTTTGCTTTGCCAAGGGGGCTATCAATTCTGCCTCACTGAGTTCCGAGGAGATTGGGAGCGGCACAAGCGCTTATGGAATTTTGAAGGGCCATAGTGTCTGCTTTCATTGCCCAGCTCAATCCAACGGCCCATTGGAAAACAAGTACTACAACGAGCACGGCGCTTGGCGCTCTCGGGAGTACTCACTGTTACAGTTTGTTCCTGGGCAGCATTGTCCCTCACTCTTACCCATATCTTTTTTGCGCGCCATTCTGTCTTTCACAGTGACGCCGTGCTTATTTCGATTGGGAACCAAGGGAAAATTAAAGGAACGTTTCTTGCTCAGGTCCATTGCTGCTGCTGCAATCGTTCCACCATTCCTGCATAAAGTGGTGCTCTATGCACGTCACTCACTTAGGAATCCTCTACTCATGCAACGGTGGATCCTTGAAACATGGCCGCGTTGGATGCTCATGCAAGGTTACCCATTTCTTGTCACTTTCGCAGCTGCCTGAAATCTGAATTGGCATCCCGACACGGGCAGTATGTCATAACCCCGACACTTACTGTTTAAAACGTGGGAGGCTTGCAACTGGACAATGTTGAGCATTTTTTGCGGTAGAGCTTTTTGATGCACGCGCGTAAGGAGTCTCCTCTGCCGTCTGGGCGAGTTTGGGGACCTCCCGTTTGAACGGCAACTTGATGCGGCCTACTCAAGTTTCAAGGGCTTTTGCCGCGAAAGAAAGATTGAGTGCTCGCAACCAGCATTTACCGTCAAGCAAGCACCTTGGATATAAATCGATGGTCTGGACCAAGTGGCCGCATCAAACACGCTAGCCTAGTACTTCAGAGTCTGAGGTGCGAAAAACATCAGGGGACATCATGATGACGCGCAAGGCTTACAACGGCCGCTGCGTTACTGAATTTCTTTCATGGAAGCTTCGGGAAGTTTTCCAGCGGGGCGAGCTGCCAAGCGATGAACTTACTCTGGCTTGCACAGCGATGACCCTTGGCTTTCTCCCAACAGTTCCCTTGCCACCGCAACCCGAACCCAACATGTCTCTGTCCTTCTCCGGCAAAGGACGGCCATGCTCGGCAACATGGAGAGGTACCAGCGGTATTTGCACCTTGCACCTATTACATTTCCAACATTCTTTGGTTGTTCAGCTTCATTCTATTGATTGAAACTTGATGGGGCCCTTGCAAAATTCCACATTAGAACATGGGGTAGTTTGGTGTAGCTTCTTAGCACGTGCTGTTTGACCTCTGGGTCGACGGACAAATGAGGAGGCCACCGTTCTGCATGATGATGGAATGCGGTTTTTGGAGTGCTACAAGGCGTTGACGCGCCTTTCCCTAAGGCGGGGTTTCAAGCATAACTGCTGAAGTGTGTGCACGCATGTGCGCTCCTGTCAACGCTGGGAAGGGCCTCTCGTCACGAGTGGCTGATGCGCCCAAAGCACCATGTAACTTTGAACGCATCCACTGAGCTATTGGCTTGTTTGCTTCTCTTGCAAGCCTTTTAGAGAGATTCGATGCAGATAAGGCTATGATACATTTGGTGGCGTCAATCAAATCCACCAGCCCTCCCCTGAGATGGCGCTCCGAGCTGGCCATTGTGTGTACATGTATGCTGCGTGTCATATGTGATTGTCTTGCAGCAGCTTAGAATGTAACCCTCGGCATTGGCATACTTTTGCCGACGAAGACGGCATGCGATGGTTGAAGGACTCTTGGAAACAACATGGATTTTGTCAACTCTTCGCATCTCTGAGCCAAGGAGTGTCAGCCCGAGGCCACCGATTGAAGCGCGAGGTTTGTGCTGCAATGCTCCAGGCTCAGGCGTGGGTGACCCAAGCACCATGTTAACAGGAATCGCGCGAATGATGCATGAGTATGCAGGATCTTGTCGTGCAAGTTTCGGGCGAAGAGGCTTCTTGACAGAACTAGCTTTGCCGTTCTTCGGAATGAAAGGGTGTACATGCAAAACCGGATTGCTGGGAACACTTTAGGCGTACCCAAGGCTCAATGCTGGATCTTTGAGAAGGTCAGCGCGGGATCGGCGCGCAAGAGAGCAGTCGTTTCAAAGGTGAAAAGCTGCCGCGCCAGAAACCGTCTTTCTATAAACGGATATTTAAACAACCGCTGTTGGAATCCCAGGGCTTATCTTCAAGGGAAGCCAAAGGAAAGCTGGCCACGTCTTCTCTTTGCCCCAGCAGCTCAGCTAGAGGGTCTCTGCTCCGGGTTCCGAGAGTTGCTGCATCGGTTCCGCGCGGTGCCGGCGGTTTTGAGTCGCTCCGAGTGTTGCGCAAAGTTTTGAAGGTTTCGCAGGGGGTTTAGGGCGTGGAGCAAGGGTTCCGGAGATTTGCTGGGGATACCACCTGGGCTGATTTCTGTAACTTTCCCGCAGTGTTCGTTTAATTGTACGGTCCCCTGGCACGCCTTCACCAGCGCCAGCACGGCGCAAAGGATGTTGTCCCCCGAGCGCCCGGGCATCTGGCATGCGTTCTTGGCCATCAAACTGCCATTTCCCCCCAGTTAAGGTCCCCTTGAACATCATCCCACGAGCAAACTCATCTGACACGGGCCCAAAAGGTGATATTAAAACAACAAGCGGAATATTGGGACCAGTCTTGGCTTCGACCATGGATGAGATGAGGACCCCGATAGGTTGACGGTTTCAAACACATTTCAACACGTTGAAGCTTGAAGCTTGAATCTGCTGTGTTGAGACGCTTGCCACATCTCGAAAGATTGGAACTCCGAAACATGGATATATCCATGATCGTCCGGAATGCACGGTGACTCAAGAAATCGCAAGGAACCAGGCCGCAAGCGAAATCGCACGCTTGAAAGAGATCTTTATAAATCACCACTCTCTGCCCCAGCCCCAGCAAAGTAAAGGCTGTACAGACCTCTGCCAAATTTGAAGGTGACAAAATTGGAAATGCCCCATGTCTGTCATGCTGCCCAAAACGGCAAAGAAGTCCCCAATGGGAAACATCCACGCTACGCATCCCAAGCTTGTCTCGGGCGTATCGGGACGAAGTCTGCCAGGCACTTCTGTGCAAAGAAACAGGGAGTCCTGCAACCCTGGAAGCGCACATTGCCAACGTCGCCTAGGCTCTCCCCCACGCGCCAGCCGCTTGGGTAAGGCGCGCCTTGATTTTTTGAGCTGCACAGGTGTAGGTTTGAGAGTTTGACCGCAGGCATCGCGCGCGTTTTCGCACATGCAAGAGGCACTCTGTGCTTGCATGATAGCGCTAGCTTGCGGGTGATGTCACATGGTGACGGTGTGCCTTCAACCAAACATCAAAGACCCCAAGAGCCAGCATAAGCCATAAGCTGACCTCTGCTCTTGGTTGAGAAGCGCTCGAAAAATGGGTTGTGAGTACGCTGCAAACTGTATTCAAAGGCACTTACAGTAATTACATGCATCAAACTAGAACGAGGTGTTGCAGCCCGAGCGCATGTAATCTGAGACAAAACTGAAACTTGGGGACGCTCCTCCCGAAAGAAAAAAATGCTACGCACACATTCAGGGCAGTTCAGGCTGACATCGACCTCCTCGGAAACTCAGGCTGCGTTTGGCTCCGCCCCTTTCATGCCATCATCCTGGATGTCTTGGGCCTTTTTCACATCCAGGTTGAGCAGGTCGGGCGCCTGCGAGAGAGCCTCTTCCTCCTCCTCCTCGTCAGGAAGGCTGTCCAAGAGCTGCAGCTCTTCGGCAGTGAACATGTATTTCAAGGCCTTGCGGATGATAGCCAAGGACGCCATGAAGAAGGGGAAGACCACAGAGGTCTCCTTGATGGCCTTGAGGCCGTACAGGATTGCCAGGCAAACCACCTGCACGAAGGTGTACAAGTGGACGCGCTTGATGGGCAGCTTCTGGATGTAGTTGTACTGCGGGTACTTGGAAGAGTCCCAAATCATCCAAAGGAAAAGGCGGTCGAAGAGGTTATTGCCGGTCAAGGACGCGATTCCCATGTAGAAGAACACGCCCTGCAGCACGGCGCGAGGCAGAAACTTGAGCACCGGAGCCATGAAGAGCGCGCAGCCAATGAGCACATGGATCAAGAAGTTGGTGGCACGTTGCTCGACGACCTTGGAAGGCACCTTGGTCTCGCCCTGTGGGAGCTGCTTCACCTCGTAGGTGGTGAGCGAGATCACGTGGGTGATGCTGGGCACAGTTGAGGCCACAGACAGGGGCAGGCCCAGCACGGCGCAGGCCGGCAGCGTCAGGGCGCCGCGCACAAACAGGTCCAGGTGGTAGCCAGGCTTGACACGTTTGAGGAGACGCAGGGTGCAGCCAAAAGGCTCCCTAGCGGCTCCACGCGCCATCCAGCTCAGGCGTCAGACGCCCACCACCCACGAGCGATAGAAGCGGCTCCGGCAACCGCGTTGACGGCCTTGACCTCCCATTGCGTGGCAGCAAGCTTAGCTCGCGCCCACTCCTGACGAGCAGACCCACGGAGTAGCAATCGCGCCTTCCAGCGCGCCGCCTCATCGGCGTCCTCATTGAGTCCACGAAGCATGGCCTCCGAGGCGACCGGGTGCGGCGCCCATTCACCGCTAACCTTGCCGTGCGATGGGACCCAAAAGAGCTCGACCGACAGGGTCAGAGCACAAAGCCGTTGGAAAGCATCAAAGGCGCGTCGCGCCAGTAGCTTGCAAGAACCACCACCTTTCAAAGTTTTGATGGCAGCTTGGCAGTCGAGGACAAACACAAAAGAGACACGTGAAGCGGCTCCTGCACATAGTCGAGCAGCGTCAGCAGCAGCCTGAAGGGCGAGGACGCCAGCTTCAACCTCAGCCCGGTAAGCGGTCTGATCTTCACCAGTGACAGCTGAAACAAAAGTTGGGCATCCCGGGGTCGCAATGGCAAAAGCAGCGACCTCATCAATCTCGGAACCATCTGTGGCAACGAAGAAGTGGGAAGGCTGTTCCTCAAGTCTTGTGCGAAAGGCATGGACAAGCTGCTCAAAGGCCAGAGGACGGGGGTCCCTTGGCGCAGCAGGTTGTTCAGGGAGGACCTTGGTAAAGAGACGCTCCTCTGCTCGGTTACTGGGGAGAGGAACTCCTTCTCTTGCTGAAGCAGTCGCCGGACATGTCCACACCAAGTGGGGCCGAGAAGGCGTGTGCTTGCCACATGCGCACTGACGGGCTGCGTCACCATGGGGTTGCCTCCGAAAACCGGGATGGAAGTGCCACCAGCTGCATCCCGTAGCCAAGCACGCAAGGAACAAATCCCTTTTGTCCGTCGCCTGCTTGAAACACTGTCTGTGGCCTTGGTAACAAGGAACTCCGGGAGCAGGAGGAGGCAGTGTCAAACCTTGAGCCAGTGGCTGATCTGCATTTGCCTGGCGTCGAAAGCCACGAAACACCCTGGCCGACGCCTTCAAAGAGTCGCGCCGGCTCCTTTCTTTAAGCCACCGAAGAACACAAGCAAAGTTGTCAACCCCAAGCTCGAAGGTGCGCTGCTGCCCATGCTGATCCCGCCTATGAAGGAGAGCTCCATCAGGCGATGCCCACCATCCAAGGTCATTGGCTGCGGCCGCAGCGCAAGGGAGTTGCTGAAACCACTTTCCAAAGACAAAGTCAAGAGGTGCATCTTCCCAGCACTGTTTCAACGAGCTGCGGTGCCTAACTGCAGCTCGGAAATGGGCTGCAGCTGAGGCGAAGAGAGGCTCGACTTCCCACCCAAGGAGCTCAAAAAGGATGCCCCAAGGCACGTCTGGCGGCAAAGTGGCGCCAAAGGAACTCACAACTGCACTGCGTATACTCTTCAAAACATCCGGTGTCAATGCTGCCAAGCCAGCAGCCCAAGTGAAGGTTGGGTTCACGAGGCATCGCAGCAAGCGTAAGCGGGCCTTCCATGAAGCAGCCACGCGGGCAATGGCAGTTATGCGGAAAAGCACGAGCTGCATGTCAAACTTCACCAGCTGTGTGGCCATCGGTTCATGAAGGTCAAACTGTAACCCAAGAAAGGTGAGTTTGTGGTCGAAGGCGTAAGGGAGGTTGCTTAGCCCAAAATTTTGGGCAACATCCGAGCTCAAAGCTGCAATCCCGCACTTCTCGGGTCGGCACCTAAGCCCAAACACACTGTCAAATTCCTCCGATTTCCGCATTGCCAGCTGCAAAAGGGGGGCTTGGGAAACATTCTGGGCCCACAAAACCCGATCGTCAACGAAAACGGCACAGCCGAGGCCGGGCTGCTGGACTGCGCAAGTCCACGGCAACATCACCGCTGCCGCGATCATAGGCGAAAGAGGGCATCCTTGCAAAATGCCCCGCCCTGCTTTGCACCATTGTGAGCCATGATAGGCGCCCGAAGTAAAGACCCGGGATCCACGCAAATAAAACTGGTCAATAAGGCGAACGAGCGCAGGAGGGGCCTTCAAGTGCGAGAGGACCGCTATTGCCTGCTGCACCTGGATCGCATCAAAAAAACGATGGATATCCTGGCGCACAAACACGCCATGCTTAGCTCGCTGCGCGACCGCATGGTTGATGCGGATGAGGCAATCTTCGACGCCTCTACCAGCCAAACCGCCAAACAGGTGATCGCCCGCCCAACTGCTCAACCACGGCTTCAGGGTCTGCAAAAGCGCTCGCGAGCCAGCGCGCCACAATACCGATGTCAAAGCAAGTGGCCGCCAGCCCCCTGCGTCTTTGGGAATGAGCACTATCTTGGCCTCAACCCATCGGCGGGGAATGCATCCGGAAGAAATCACATGGGCCCACAAATCTTCAAGGCATGACCACCAAATCGGTCCCATTCTCAAAAGATCTTTGGCGCGCCAGTCATCAGGGCCAGGGGCCTTGCGCGTCATAGCCTGCATGGCTTGCAGCAGGTCAGAGCCCTTTGCTGAGAAGGCAACAGCCTCATTAACGTTGTTTGGGACGTTGCGAAGAAAACTTTGGAATTCCTCGCCTGTGCCACGTCCAGATTCCTGGCCCCAAACCGCTGTCCACTCTCGCTGCTGCTCATCAACTGCTATGGAAGGGTGGACGGCTGAAGCGCTAACACCCTTAGAAGATGGCGCAGGGCGCGCCGCACGACTCTCCTGAGCACGGGTCAAGGCAAACCGCTTGACCCATGCACGCTGCTGGCCTTCATCTGCAGCCATCCGGGCCTTCCAAGCCTTTAGGCGCTGAGAAAAAAGTTGCCGCTCACATTGAGTGACTGCCGCTGCCACCACATCAACGAGGTCTTCCAGGCAGTCTTCCTCAGCTCTGCTGCGCGCATTCAGCCCAGCCGGAGCTGGCTCGACCTCAGCTCTGTTTGGGGGCTCCATCCCAGCTGGAGCTAGCACAGCCTCTGCTCTGCTTTGGGCTCCCAGCCCAGCCGGAGCAGGCTCGGCCTCTGCTCTGCTTCGGGGCACAGCCCCAGCCGGAACTGGAACGGCCTCAGCTCCACTTGCAGCCGGAAACGGCGCAGCCTTTGTCCTACTTCGGGAAGCCGAACCCGACGTAGGCGCGGCCTCAGCTCTGCTTCGGGCATGTCGCCCAGCCGGAGTTGGCTCGGCCTCAGCTCTGTTGGGGGTTTCAACCCCAGCCGGAGCTGGCACAGCCTCTGCTCTGCATTGGGCCCCCAGCCCAGCCGGAGCAGGCTCGGCCTCAGCTCTGCTTCGGGGCACAGCCCCAGCCGGAACTGGAACGGCCTCAGCTCCGCTTGGGGCAAGCGCCCCAGCCGGAACTGGCGCAGCCTTTGCCTTGCTTCGGGATGCCAATCCCGACGCAGGCGCGGCCTCAGCTCTGCTTCGGGCATGTCGCCCAGCCGGAGCTGGCTCGGCCTCAGCTCTGTTAGGGGTTTCAACCCCCGCCGGAGCTGGCACGGCCTCAGCTCTGCTTCGGGCCCCAGGCCCAGCCGGAGCTGGCTCGGCCTCAGCTCCGCTTGGGGCACACGCCCCAGCCGGAGCTGGCGCAGCCTTTGCCTTGCTTCGGGATACCAATCCCGACGCAGGCGCGGCCTCAGCTCTGCTTCGGGCATGTCGCCCAGCCGGAGCTGGCTCGGCCTCAGCTCTGTTAGGGGTTTCAACCCCCGCCGGAGCTGGCACGGCCTCAGCTCTGCTTCGGGCCCCAGGCCCAGCCGGAGCTGGCTCGGCCTCAGCTCTGTTTGGGGCCAAAACCCCAGCCGGAGCTGGCACGGCCTCAGCTCTGCCAGGGGCCTCCTCGACCTGCTTCGGGGCATCCCCCCAGCCGGAGCTGGCTCAGCCTCAGAAACTGGTCCATGACATCTGTACAAATCTTGCAGCTCATCCTGAAAGCACCGAAAATCACGGGCAGCCTTTGCACGAAGATTGCTATCCCAGGGTTGTCTACGAAGCTGAAGGAGGCGTCTGTGAAGACGCCTAAGACGAACCAACCGCACCGGCTCTGGTCCAGCAGACGCCTTGGAGTGCCGTGACGAAAAACGGGGCTTCCAGGAAGCGGAGCGCGGCGTGAAGCCAAAATGCTTCTCATCACAGAGGGCGTCCTCCGCAAAATCAGAGAGGAGCGACCACGCATTGTCCACATCTTCTTGCGACAATGCAATTTTAACCAATTGACACAAAGTTTCACTGCAGTCAAACTTCTCAACGCCATCTGCAGCAGAGATCAGACGGCGCTTCGGCCCAAACCGGCCGTGCGAAATTGTCTTGAACTCGAAGTCGTAGGCAACGAGATCATGATCCGTAATCCCAAAATCAATGTCCTGCGATTGGACACGCTGTACTGGAACAAGAGAACGGTGTGAAAGGCCAAAATCGATGCGCTTGTGGCCATCAGCTCGGGTGGATTCAGGGAGCAAAGCAAAGGCATCATCCACACAATGAGCTCTTCCAGCGGAAATGTAAGGGGAGAAACATTGGTCATCCGCCTCCTGATTCCAGTCACCCAGGGTCAACCACAGGAAACCAGAACCCGTCACAAAGTCAAGCACCTCTGTACAAAGTCTTGATCTTGCTGTGCCATCGGAAGCATGGCAATAAACTGAAGCTAAAAAGATCTTTTGGTACACCCAGTCCGGGCCATTGCACTCCTGGACCTCCACCACGCCAGCAGCCACACGGTCCGGCCAGGAAGTCTCCAGAAACACAGGTGAAATTGGTAAGGTAGACAACAAGGCGGTCTTGGTGACCCCACCTTCCCCAACGCCTCCAAACACCACAAAGAAGCCTTTCTGCAAACACGAAGTGCGGAAACGAGCACGGGTGGCTTCGTTGATATCCACCTCCTGCAAGGCGGCAACCTGGATGTTGTAGGAAGAAAAGATGTCAAAGACAACAGGCAGCTTGCCCGCGATCGCCGGGACGTTGAAAGTAGCGCACCTAATCATGGCGACTGGATTTTGGGGCGCCAAGCAAGACGACCTTTGTCTCGCTGAAAGTGGACCGAAGTGTCTCCAGCGGCACACCGTGCGCCTCAAAGTGATCCTCCGCCCACTTTCTTGCCTCCTCAAGCCGCTTCAGCCGAAGCTTGTAAGCCGCGGCCTGACCATAGTGGTGCGCACCACACCTGTGCAGCTTGGCCTCTCTCAGGACGCGGAAAACGGCACGGCAAGTTTTGCACACCCAGGACCGAAGAAGTTGCAACGCCGCACCCTTACCTTCTGGCTTGGCGCGCTTAGTCTTTTCTCGCACAACCACACGTGGCCAGGTGAAGGCCTGAAAACCAGCGTTCTGCATATCCTGCATGCGAAAGGGCACTGCCATATATTTGTTGAGGTTGAAAACTCGTCGCTGCGCCCTAAATTTCGGGCCCATCCCTTCCTTCCTCAGAGCCTTCTGCCAAGCTCCATGCGAAACACGGGGGTGAACTTCGGCATGATGCTCAGCTCGCCACTTCGTGAGAAGCTTGCTCGGCTTATCAGCAACCTCATCCTGGGGCCAACCCATCTTGCAGTATGGGCAAACCCATGCGAGAAGCTGGCCGCTTCCAGCCAAAACCAAAGGGGGGCGCTGGTGCTTTCGGGCCACTTGCTTGCGAACTTCAGGATGAGCGCGCCGCATGTGGCTCAAACGCCCGCGACTGGCTTGTCCGCGGGTCTCATAGAGCTCAGCGAAAGGGCAGAGGTCACACTCATACTTGAAAGTGCCATGGAAGGCGTACTTGGACTTGCTCGGGACCTCAACCGCATCCGGATCCGCAACGCTCCCTGGCAAAGAAAGGGCCGGAGATCGCATAGCCGAGCTTGAGGACAGGGTGCGCACCTCGGCTGGTGAAGGATCGTACCAGTGGGATCTGCTTTTCCGCTCGGTGCCAGACTTTGTGCAGCCGCCGATGGCGCTAAGCTTCGCGCCATTGTGCGTCCGGCCCCCCAACACGCTCGTGTGTCCTCCCAGAGTGCTCGGGGCCGGGACTCCGCCGCGATCAGCGGCATTGCCTATTGGAGCGGCCGTAGCCTTGGCCCGGTCCGCGGGGCCAACTGCTCCGATCAGCGCCTGGTAGTGGCGGTTCATGAACCAGAGAGCAAGCGGCTTGCCCTTGGCTGAGGGATTGAACACCCTCACGCCGTCGGCCTCCTCCGGCCGAAACACGAAGATCGGCTGCGCCAGGGTCGCAGCAAGGGCAGCGACTTCTATCGAACCACCCCATGCACCATCGCGAGCGAGCAACCGGAGGTACTCTGCAAATCCTTTCACCTTCATGTCAGCGCCCTCGGCGCTCGGGGCGTCTCCCTTCCAGAAGCCTTCATAGGACCGAGCATGGGTGCGAAGGTGGGTCACTGCAAGGTTGCGAATCTCAGCAGGGGAGCGCTTTGAGCGACCTTGAGCTTCAAGCGCATCGGCAACAGCGGCAAAGAGACAGTTCCCGGCTCCCGGGTTGTCTTTGAGCTCCATTCCCAATGGGATACCATGCGAAGTGGTCTTGCATCGCTTGGATGGCGCCTCTGGAGTTTTTGGCTTAGTTTTCCCATCCAAGCCACGCTCGTCGTTGTTCCCGTCGTCCACCTCAATGTTCTGGTCTGCAGGTGGATCAGGTCCATGCGCAGGTGTAGCCGAAGTGGGAGTGGCTTTGCCTTTGCCTTTGGGTCCCTTGGGTCCCTTCTCCTTGGGCTGAGCAAAGATCTGTCGCCATTCAAGTGGGAGCGCCTTGCCCTCAGCGTAGGATCGCGTGCGACCAACTCTGGTGATCTCGATCTGCGCCTCAGCACCCTCCAGCTCAACGCTCCTGAAGTCCTCCTCCATGTTCATCACGGTGTAAAAGGTCCAGGCTGCGCCACCTTTCCAAGGAACCTTTTCGCTGACCTCAACCTCAACAAAGCCGCTGTCGGCCAGGAAGGCCTCAACCTCCTCGACGCACCAGTCCCTCGGAACTCCGGTTGCTCTCCATAGTCTCCTCACAGTTCTGGGCTTGTTGGTGTCCTCATCTGTGGCGGGTCGCCGAACACCTAAGCTACGGAAACCCCGAGCCAAACCCAACGACGACCCCTTCGTAGAGCTCCAGCACCTCGCCGCATAGGTCTGCCAGGTCTCATCATCCTTCCAGTCGACCCAATCGGTGACGAGCTGGGGCACACCCTCGATCACCTGCTGCTTGTTGAGGTGTTGCACGAACCATCGGTTTCCTCCATGCTTGGTCCCGCTGACGCCCAAGGCCGCAGCAGCTTGCGAGACTGTGAGGCGCACGAGTCCCTGAATGCAGGCATGTTTTCCACCAGGTCCAGGCGTCAACTCCAAATCCAGGTGTCATGAACACGTCCAAAGGCCGCCGTAGCCCATTGACGGAAGGACTTGCCAGGGTTGCTGGTTGCCTGCTCCCATGCACTCTCTTTGTCAAAGTACACCCAGTCAGCGTGAGCACGAAGGACAACTGTCTCAGCCTTTGCACGCTCGGGGGGTTTGACTACTTTTGCTAGCTGCCGGAGTTCAGGGGCGGAAACGCCTGTCTGGCCCACCCAAGCACTGACCACCCGAAGCTGGTTGCGGTGGATCCCCGGCACCCTCATCTCCTGCCATGTGAGCTC